GACATGAATTAACTCAACCAATAATTTTAGGCAATTTGACCAAAAAATCACCGTATAAATAAAATATTACCTGTCAGTCATCGTTTTGTAAATATTGCTCGATCTAACACTTGAGAGAAGGAGGTGAGTTTAGTGAAACACGCTTTAGGAGTAAGGCGCGGTTGGTAGGAAACGCCTTAGTCGAAAACCGCTGACACCTGATAAAACTGCTGATACCCTTGGAAGGTGCATCCCCAGAGGCGCCTTACTGGAATTTTCTGACACCCTAAGGATCATCCCATTGGGCGCCCTTCCCCCTCCCCTCCCGCCCCGATTTCCCGCCTTCCCATTGGGCTACCAATAATATTTATTAATTGAAGTTAAAAAAATGGAAGGTGCGTTGTTGTGATTGGATGCTGATCATATTTTGAGTCATTTTGCCAACACAGTAAGAATACAAAACTATTCTTTTTTAAATTTGAATATTATGAAATCAATTATATATTATTTAAATTATTAGAATTTATTTAAATAATTTGAAATAGTAGCTCAAATTTTAATGGTTAGAATTTATTTGTTAGGAAAATCGTATATTATAAGTTTTATTCGCAACAAGAAGATGGAAACAACGAGGCTTATCTGGCCATATTTGTCTATGGCTAGATTCAATTACTTAGCAAAAATTGAAGGAGGTTGTAAACTTGAACCTGCCCATGATTTTTACACTAATTGAGAGATGGAGGCCAGAGACACATACGTTCCATCTACCATGGGGAGTGTACCATTATGCTGAGGATGTTTCAATGCAACTAGGGCTCCTAGTCGATGGAAATGTCATTTATGGTGTGGCAGATGATGATTGGGGGTTTATGCAGAGAGTATCTTGGAAGTTATTCGACTAGTTTCAACAATGGCCGAATAACATTAGCGTGGTTGAAAAGTGAATTTAAAGAGTTGCGCGAAATTGGGTCGGAGGACGAGGCAAAATCATTTGCCCAAGCATATACTACAACATTAGAGGTATATTGATGCCTAAAAAATCTCAGAACCAGGTCCATTGTATGTGGTTGAGGCATCTGATCGATTTTGAAGTAGTTGTCACATTGAGTTGGAGCTCTGCAGTGTTGGCATTTTTGTTTAGAGAAATGTGTCAGACTACGAATTATAAGAAGACTTCTATTGACGGTTATATCATGCTTCTCCAATCGTGGGCATGATACCACATGCCTTTGTGCCCGATCGTGAATGAATCATATGTCTTTTCGTTCCTTTAAAGGTATCAATAGTAAATTTATTTTTAAATAATATTTTCAATTATTATAGAAAACATATATTTTTATATTAAATAGTTGATCAAGTAATAGGAAAAATCATCGTGATATCCCACAAGAATTACAAGATATCTGATTACTCATTGACCATAAAGTTGGTATAGATGTACGTTTTTAATTTTAATTTTTTATTTAATTGTATTTATATAATTTGAATCTCATTTTAATTTGATAAGAGACCTATATTTTTGTTTTAGTTCAAATGGTTGTCATATTTGAATGACGAATTGAGGGTTTGCATCTCGTCTAACCTTAGTGGGATACTGGATGTATGTGTGGCAGTTGTGCCCCTTATTTGTTATGTTATATTGAGTGGCATTCGATTGATCGTGTGTTTGTCAGTTTGGGTTTACATAATTTATTCCAGAAGCACCAAGGAACCTCAATATGCATAACATCGATAGACGGGACAAGAAAGAGGTAAATTGGTTGGTGAAACATAGAGATTGGTTGACGATATGGGAGAACCGACATCAACGCTTGCCCCATCGAAGTATATAACAGAAACTGGTTGATGGTTTTAGATGACTATATTGAATGTTCAACTCAAACGGGTAGTCATTCTTACTTTCAGCAAAAGCACGAAGGGGCAATTCATCGTCGACGAAAAAAAGTCCAACGTCACAACATCATCGTCCCCCCACTACTAGACGAATAACATGTTTCTGAGTCGTCCTCAGCTATGCCACTGGAACCATCAAACCAGCAACCAGTGACGTCGGTTTACATCCTTAGCCCTCCAATTCACATGGGGACACCACCGTTTAAGAAGCCACTACAACCGGTTCAGATGCCACATCCGCAAGTTCAGATGCCATATCTGTTGTTTCAGATGCCACCACTGTTTGGTTTCGCACAAAGCCCGCAGGGTTTTATGACCCATTAGCGGATATTTTCGACTATGCTTACGAATCCAATACTTAGTTTCTACGTGAATTATGTTGCGGGTGGTTCTCCACCACAAACACCTCAACCGCAGTATGGGTCACAGACATCGATGTCCGGCTTTTCACAATTTTGGAGACTATGGGAGGCATTCATCAGTTAATAATGGTGATTTATATCGTGGAATGGAGTTCACATCTAAAGAAGAAGCAATGATGACAATTAAGAATTACAATATTCATATTTCAGTTCAGTCCAGAGTCGATCGATTTACCACCGAAAGTATGTTTGTTATTTTGTCCAACGTGATAATGACTGCAATTGAATGGTTCGCGTTTTAAAGAGGAAGAAGATCGGCATATGGGAACTAACAAAATACAGTTGTCCCCATACATGTTATGCATATGGATCAACCAGAACCATCTAAATTTGGACTCCAACGTGATTTGCCAAGCCATTATGCCCTTGGTCAGAGCAAGCTCCCACATACCTATTGCATTGCTAATTTCTACAATACAATCTCAATATAGGTACACTGTCTCATACAAAAAAGCATGGAAGGCAAAAACATAATGTCATTATAAAACTACACGACAAATGTGATTCATCTTACAATGAACTATCCAGTTGGTTTAACCTGGTTCAATGATTGAATCCTGGGACAATAATTGAGTTTGAAACTAGCCATGCTTACCATAATGATCGAGTTTTTCGAGATCGATGCCAATTTCACCGTGTTTTTTGGACTTACCCACAATGCGTTATGTAGTGAAATAATGTAAACCCGTTGTCCAAATTGATGGTACATTCTTGTATGGAAAATACAAGCAAGTTTTATTATTGGGAGTTGTCCAATATGGTAATCGTAACATTCTTCCTGTTACGTTTGCCCTTGTTAAAAGAGAATATAGTTTGTTGGAATAGAATTTATTTTCCAAAAGCTGAATGAGGATTAGGCTTGAAGAAACTTCAATGCTGGAATGAGGTGTGCTTCATTCGATTGGTGAGGAGCATCCTAACTGATGAAGGTTTCTTGTGAGTGGTTTGGGGAATGCCTACATTATTAAAACGAATGATTTTGGTACTTGGAGGTGAAGAGCAGTCTCAGCTGGAGCCTTAGGAAGGCTTTTGCATTGAGAAGTGAAGCTTTACCTTCGAGTGGTTTGTTATCTCGAGGGGCTCTAATTTCAACCAAGTAGTTATGGCTTGAGTTTAGAAGAGGGAGGATAGGGTGCAGTGGAGTAAACTTGTTTGGTTCTTATTACGTATTCCTAAACATGCAATGATTGCTTGACTTGTTATTCTTAATAGGTTGGCGACTAAGGACCGATTAAGAAGGATGGACGTGATGGTGGATGATAAACGTATTCTTGGTGCTGTAGTGTTGAGTCGAGATCTCATCTTTCCTTTGAATGCCATTTTTCTATTGGGATTTAGAAAAAGATTATGTATGTATTGCAGGAGGAATGGAATTGTAGGATCTTTCGAAATTCGACAAGAAATTTGATTACGATCAATGATAAGGATTGGTTCTTTGAATTCTTCTGTTTGTTGTGCTTGGAGTCTTTTGGGTTGAGTATCTTTTTTTTAGATACCCATGTTTGTTTGTAGCAGTTCACCACTTTCCTTGGATAACAACATTCTATTTGTTTAAAAAATAAAATCAAAATATAATTTAAAAAAATAGTTGAAGGATTAAAATGGAACAAGTTGAGATACTAAATGCATAATTTACTCTTGATTTTTTTATTATATCAACGAATATGATTAGATGTTTGATCCTTTAATTAATATTTATGTTTCAAATATCGAAGGTGTGTTCAAAACAAATTAAATTAAAAGAATCAATTTTATAATAGAAGTCCTACGTTTGTTAAAGCTTCACCTTGGAAAATTTGGGTGCGACTGCAATTTCCAGAAGGGGGGGGGGGAACCCCATGACACACTCCCTTCTCAAGTCAAAATTTGAAACCTTTGATTGAACCAGTCCAATCTAGGGCTTGAAAGCATCTCAAAACTTGGACTAAAATCACAACGTCAACTTTACACCAAACAGCTTTAGAATTAGTCTACATCCATATTCCCTCGTTCTTCAGGCAGCTGCAGGAATTTATATGTACAACAAAAAACTATTCTTTTATCTGCTGCTTTAAAATGTCTGATGTTTTTCCTAACATGACTCGTCGTCAAACATCAATCTAGAACTTCCATATTGAAGCAACATGGTCCATTTGCACTTGATAATATAATTTTGCTGACTGACCCTTCAATTTAAATAATCCTCATTTTGTATATTCCACTATTTAAATGCACACCCCCTTTGAAGTTTGAACCAGTCATACACTGATAATAACACCTTATTTTTTCTTGGCATCTTCAAAGATAAATTCATGGAATATGGACAAAAACAATTCAAAGTTAAAACTTCACAGCAGCGTTACAAAATCATTATGTTCTAAATTACGGATTGACCACAGCAGCCTAACCTACAATCTCAGTCCCTTTCTTCTTACAACTAAAAGTTGGTGAAATGTACTGGTTTTTGTAGGCTTGGTAACCAGCAGAAAATGGAGTTCAACGTTTTATCAATGATATTTTGTTATAATATTCAATAATATTGTTTGGTCAGGTAGACGTAACCTTTTGTGTTTGACGGGCAATGTGTATAATTGAACTTGGCTTTGTCTAAAACTATAGAAGTGTGGACCAGTCTTGGCGGGTAAAATGAAGCTTGTTTTTTCCAACTTTGGCGTCTAAACACCGGTTCTTCCCCCCTTTTGTCCTCTTAAAACTTTACTACGACTAACGACCTTCTTCGTCTTCTTTCTTGGCCAGATTAAAGAAACCCTGTTTTCTGCCTTCTTATTTCTTTATGTAGAAAACCTTTTTCTGTATAGATTTGGGGTTTCTGTCTTCCGTTTTCTAGCTTTGCTTTAGTGCTTTGAGCTCTCTTATGCTTGAAGAAAATCTTGAGTTCTCTGTTATTTCAGGTAAGCTTTTAAGGTTCTGATGTTTCTTTTCTTCTCTTTCTCTTATCTGTTGTTGTGATGCTTGATTAATTTTATTTAATGTTTCAGAATTTATCGAAGGTAGCTGTTTTTTCATTGCTGTATAATCTTTTCTGATGTTTACATCACCTTGACCTTGAAATTCCTTTAATGAGTTTCATCCTTTCTTGTTCATCTTCTGTTCTAAAAATTTATGTTAAAAATATCCATTTTTTTCACAAACTTGTCAAACACGAGTCCTCTCTGCTGATTAATTCAGGCAGATTAAACACTCGAGGATAATTGTTTTTTCTTTCTTGTCTGATTTATCAGATTTAACAGGAATCAATTGAGGCTGTCGTGTGTTCAACATGGGAAGGGTAGTTCATCAACGGTCTGATGATGTTGAATTGGAGAATTATCATCCAGGTTGCATGGGGGGCATATTTAATGTTCTTGACCACCGTCATTGGTATAATGTCAAAAAGATTCTCCCAAACAGAAAGTTCAACAGAGGAAGACGTTCGAGATGTAATAAAACCTCACCTTGCCTCATCCCTTTCATCAAATTCAGAAAATTTCTTATTACGAACTGCAATTAACAAGCATTTCGATGCTTGTTCGAGAGTTTCGTGTTAGTTTGTACAATTAGACAACAAAAAATGCTAGCTTTGTATGATTCTATCTTTTTTTCTTCTTTCGAAATCGCAGGGTGTGCAAATCCGCAAACTTTATCCATGGAACGTGAACCTGTGGAATCCCAAAGGTTATTAGATGCCGAGGCTGAACAAATCCAAGTAAGCTAACACAATATTAGTTGATTTTCACTTACAGATATTGGACATGGGGATGAACTAAATACAAAATGATTGGCCTAATTTAACAGGTTCAGCAGCAAACAAGGAAAGCAGGACCAACCAACAAAAGGTCTGGCAACGCGCCCACAAAAGGGTTAACTAGTAAAGAGAAGGCTAAGGAAGAGAACGAAAATAAAGATTGGATTCTGGGGCATTCTGCAAAATCACAGTTGCAGCAAACTGATTCAACCCATCACCTGGAACATTCAGGTTTCGGTCTAGGTTGGATGAATCCAATTATCCTTGTCCGCAAGCAAGGCGACACCTCCTATACGACCTCGACAAAGAGTAAAAGGCCTGATATCCATGAAAGCAAGAATGCAGACCAACACTTCGAACATGAAGGGAATTCTGGAAAGCATGCTAATAATAATAGGGGAACTCGAAATCTGAAGCCAGAGTCTATAAAGCTCAATAAACAAGTTTCATACAATCAGGTTGAGGCTGTGGATGTTTTGGAGATATTTAAGGTAAACAAAGATTTATTCCTAGATATTCTTCAGGATCCTGAGGTCGGTATTTCACATCATTTCCTGGAAAGCAAACATCCAAGGCGGTAAAATTAACAAAATCAGGCTCATTTCCGATGCCCGATTCACCCCGCAGTGGATATTTTAGGTCTAGCACACTTGAGCACAAGCAGAAGGAAGGTTGGTCCTTCCAAATGGGCAAAAAATCAGTCGCAGGTGCTCAATTATCCAAGTCAAAGGCCTTGACCGGGACCGACTATCGTTATCGAAGCGTCGTAAAGGAAGAAGCAAGCTCTTCATCCCAGGCATCTGATTCCCAAAGGTGGAACCATTTAGTTATGAATCGTCTCAAGGATATTAAGCAAAGAATAAAGCAGGCCCTCAAGGAAAGGAGAAAGAGTATTAAACATACAAGTGTCAATGAGCTCACCCTCCAGGTTTCTTCAAGAGATCCATTGTTCACAAATGAGAGCGAGGCAGTGGAAAGCTCGGAAAAGATGGCCAGTAGTTGTCCTCCGAACAATGCCGATGATCATGATATCGACAATGGTAGACTCAGAATGATGATAAGAACAAAGTCTATAAATGAGTCACTAGATAGATACACTCGTTTGTTTCAGCATAGTGCAAGCAAAGAAGCCAATTTGAATCATTCAAGGAGCTTAAAGTTGAGCAATGAAGATAGAGTTTCATCAAGAGGGAATAATGCTCCCAAGTTTTTTAGGAGGATTTCATCCCTGTCTGATCTTGAATCATTTTGCTCCCTTCTATATGAAGTGTCTTATGACGCTCTTTCTTCGGAGATCCCAATCAGGAGTATCCAAGATAATGATGCAGACAAGGAAACCGACCCTCATATAGAACCAAAACCAACTAGTTTCCGTGAAGATATCGATAAACTTGAACTAGTAGAAGCTGTTATAGAGTCTGAATTGCAGGAAAACAGACGAGAAGGATCGAATAGCTGTGATTCAACCGGCGGTGAACGAATTGCTAAACCATGTGAGTTTAATGAAGATGCAATTGAGCTGACGCAAACAACTTCAGATTTATGTGACATAACCACACAGTGAAGCTTCCATTGTCAGAAGGTAAATGTCTATAATATGAACTTGCACATCGATGTAGTTAAGATTCAACCAATGATTATTAATAAACTTGGCTGCTAATTCTTTTGGCTAAACTTGTATCAGGTTTAGGACTGAATCATTCAAACTTTCCCGAGAGGGAAGCAGACTATTTTACGAAAGAAAGGCGCAGAACAAGCCAGGAAAGTGTTGATAATAAAACCATGGGAAACAGCAGTCGGTTCCTATTCTTTGAACCAGATAGGGAGGCTGATCCTTGGTACAATTATGTCAAAGACATTTTGGAGCTCTCAGGTTTCACACGAGATGATGGACGCCAAATATGGTTCTCACCGGACCAACCATTGGACCCATCAATGTTCAAGGAATTGGAGAATCTATTGCACCCTGAACTGGAATCCACCATTGATGAAGTTGGAAGCAACTGTGATCACCGACTGGTTTTCAATCTCGTTGACGAGGAGTTACTTGAGATCGGTGAGAAATCATCGGTGTATTTCCCCAAGCCCTTCTCTTCAACACTGGAATTAGCTTGAAGCTCAAGCGAAACAATATTGTTGAAGAAGTGGGAACAAAGTTAGCAAAAACCTGGCCTCGCAACCAGAACATGACCTGTCATTGGATGATATTGTAGCCGGAGATTTGGGCAGAAACGCCTGGATGAGCCTTCAAGCCGAATCAGAAGTGGTGGCACTTGAGCTAGAAGATTTAATTTTTGATGAGCTTTTGGATGAAGTTGTTTGTTTTTGAAAGTCATTTAGGCCAAATATTACCGTTTCCCTTTTTTCAACAGTACATGAATTTTGATCGTTGATGAAATGTGCGTTCTCGAAGAAATTCTTGTTTATGTACGAATAACAATATTTATTAGTTGTAGGATATATGGTAAATTAATTGGTCTTACTTGTACATAAAACTTTTGTTTTGTACTTTATCAAATCTCTCAAAGTGGTTATGTACTTTTAAAATATTAAATATGTCCCTTGTATTTTTTTTAAAAATGTCCCTTATATTTTTAATTCTATCCAATAATTTAATTTAACGGTGTTAAATGTTGATATGTTAGAATATTTTTTGTCATTGTATATTATTTTTTTTATTTTAATTATTAAATTTTATATGTTAAATTTTTTGTCACTCTCCTGTTAATTTTATGTGGACATTAGGGGTGGGAATAGGCCAGGCCGGCCTCCAGGGGTCTGGGCCTGGCCTGTATAAAGTCTGGCTTATTTAACTAAACAGGTCAGGCCCAGGCCTTTTTAAAAGCATATTTAACTAAACAGTTCAGGCTTAGGCCTATTAAAAAGCCTTATAAGTCTAATAGGCCGGTCTATTTAGAGTGACTACTTTGTAAAATATACTAAGTTAGAGTGACTTAATAGGGATTTTACTCTAAAATTAATGGTTAAACTGAAAATATTAAATGTTTATTGTTAAACAGGCTTTTAAACAGGCCAGGCTTTTAAACAGACCCAGGCCAGACCTAAATAAAAGCCTTTGACAGGCCACAGGCCAGGCCCAGGCCAATACAAATTAGTGTAGGTCAGGCCCAGGCCAATTAAAGCCTGGCCTGGCATGGCCTATTCCCACCCCTAGTGGATATTATGAATTAATTTAAATAAATAATTTTTACATTTTTTTTTTTCATTTTACCCTTCATGCATGCTCAATTTCTCATCTTGATTTCACTGACCATCTACCCTCATTAAAGATGTATTTTTCTATTTTAGAAGAAAAAGAACATAAAATATAAGAGTGGAAAAATTAAAAAAAATATTGAATAAAACATTAATTACTATTTATGGCCATTCATAATTAATAAAATAAATTATTTCATCATCAAGTTAAAGAAAAAAACGGTGGAGTGACAAAAATCAATCTATAAACTTTAAGTATTAAATGAATTTTTAAAAAAAAATACGATGAGTAAAATAGAATGATAATAGAGTTCAATTGTTAAATTTGTAATTTGTTGATACCAAAATTCTTTGGGTAAATAATGTATTTAGTATCTAAACTATTAGTTTTGATTCGTTTTAGTACATAAATTTTCAATTTTTTCAAAACCATACCTAACATTTAGTTTTTGTTTCATTTTAGTACCACCATTAAAGCTTAAGGTGTTTTACCTAAACTATAAGTTTTGGTCTATTTTAGTATCAAAACTTTCAATTTATGTCTAAATTTAAGGTTAAATTTTGAAAAGGGGTACTAAAATGAAACAAAAACTAAACTTTAGGTATAATTTTGAAAAATAAAAGTTTATATACTAAACTAGACCAAAATTAATAGTTTAGATACTAAACTCATAATTTTCTAAATTTAGTTTTCAAAAAAATCTGCCAATAAATTTCCCGGTTTTTTACGATTTCTTACCATATCTGGTACGGTTTTATTGAGTTAGCGGTGATTTAGGTACAGATACGCTAAATCGAATCCATCTCGTGCCGTATCATTTTGCCCTGTTTTTTTTTCCGAAACGTCGAAAAGTCCTTTCGGCTCTTTCCTCTTCTCAATGTCAAGCCCGGTTCAACCCTCCACATCCGATTTACCTTCCGATCCTCTCCTCAAACCCGGAGTTTTCATCGACGCCAACGGCCAAAGCCAATCGTTTGAGCCTCCTAATGGCTGTCAGTCCGAGACGCCGAAACAAGTCCCGGACATCTCATCTTCCTCAGCTGAGCCTAAGGAGAAGCGACACGTGGTGCCTCCGGAGACTTGGTTGCCAGCTGGATGGTTAATCGAAGATAGAGTTCGGAGCTCTGGTGCAACAGCTGGACTGGTTGATAAGGTTAAATCTCAGCTCCAACATTATTTCTTTTGCTCTCCGATTCTAGTGTGTTGATTATAATTTTATTGAATTTATTTTTTGTGTTTCGATGATTATCTGCTAACAAATTACTTATATATCATATGTCTTCCTCGTTTGGTGGATTAAGCTATATCCATATTTTGCTGCTTGAAGTGTCAGTCTAGCCATCAAATCGATACATTCTAGAGACTAGATAAAATTAGCCTGTTCTTCGGTTTGCCAAATTTGATTTAAAAAGAAGCTCAACTCTATTGTTCATTGCTTCTGTTCGCTAGATTAGGCAAACTAAATGGTGGATTAGTTGTAGATCGCAATGCGCTTCCAGCTTATATACATTTGATTGGTATCAGAATTGCAATAATCCTTATGGTATGGATTCTTTTAACTCTTATTTAGGTAACCATGGACTTAAAGTTAACCTCCGTATTGAAAGGCTAAAAGTTGCATAAACACACGTATAAGAGCTTTTTTGTCTTAGTTCTATCACTGAAACAAGGTGCATTGCTAAAATCTGAAAGAATGTAGCAAATATGCTTTACAGGGTTGTAGAAAACTATTGAAATGAGAAATTTTCATATCATTTATGGTGTTTTTTGGAGTGAGATTAGAGTATTTTGTCGCATATGTAATACGTTTCTTGTTCAGGTAGCCCATTAGAATGTAACTGATTGTGTTTGTTTATTGAGATAAGTGGCATTGCAATGATAATACAACATACATGATAATATTCCTAGATATTCTTCAGGATCCTGAGGTTCGTATTTCACATCATTTTCCTGGAAAGCAAACTTCAAAGGCAGTAAAATTAACAAAATCAGGCTCATTTCCGATGCTTGATTCACCTCGCAGTGGATATCTTAGGTCTAGTACACTTGAGCACAAGCAGAAGGAAGTTTGGTCATTCCGAAGGGGCGAAAAATCCATCGCAGGTGCTCAATTATCCAAGTCAAAGACCTTGACGAGGAGCGCCAATGGTTTTCAGGGCTTTGTCAAGGAAGAAGCAAGCTCTTCACCCCAGGCATCTGATTCCCAAAGATGGAATCATTTAGTTATGAATCGTCTCAAGGACATTAAGCAGAGAATAAAGCAGACCCTTAAGGAAAGGCTAAAGAGTATTAACCATACAAGGTCCAATGAGCTCACCCTTCTTGTTTCTTCAAGAGATCCATTGTCCACAAATGAGAGAGAGGCATTGGAAAGCTCTGATAAAATGGCCAGTAGTTGTCCTCCAAACAATACCGAAGATCATGATATCGACAATGGTAGACTCAGAATGATGATAAGAACAAAGTCTATAAATGAGTCACTAGAGAGATACACTCGGTTGTTTCAGCACAGTGCAAGCAACGAAGCCAATTTGAATCACTCAAGGAGCTTAAAGTTGAGAAATGAAGATGAAGTTCCATCAAGAGGGAATAATGCTCCCAAGTTTTTCAGGAGGATTTCATCCCTATCTGATCTTGAATCATTTTGCTCCCTTCTATATGAGGTGCCTTATCATGCTTTTTCATCGGAGATCCCAATCAGGAGTATCCAAGATAATGATGCAGACAAGGAAACCGATGCTCATATAGAACCAAAACCAACTAGTTTCCCTGAAGATATTGATAACTTAGAACAAGTAGAAGCCGTTATAGAGGCTGAATCGCAGGGAAACAGACGAGAAGGATTGAATAGCCGTGGTTCAACTGGTTTATCAGTGGATAAAAGCAGTGAACAAATTGCTAAACCATGTGAATTCAATGAAGATGCAGTTGAGCTGACGCAATCAACTTCAGATTTAAGTGGCATGACCAACACAGCGAAGCTTCCATTGTCAGAAGGTAAATGTCTATAATATGAACTTGCACATCAATGTAGTTAAGATTCAACCAATGAACAATTAACAAAGCTTTTTTATCTGTTCCTGATTCATTGTTGAAGTGGCTGCTAACTCTTTTGGCTAAACGTTTATCAGGTTTAGGACTGAATCATTCAAACTTTCCCGAGAGTGAAGCAGAGTATTTTATGAAAGAAAGGCGCAGAACAAGCCAGGAAAGTGTTGACAATAAAACCATGGGAAACAGCAGTCGGCTCCTATTCTTTGAACCAGATAGGGAGGCTGATCCTTGGTACAATTATGTCAAAGACATTTTGGAGCTCTCAGGTTTCACACGAGATGAGGGGCGCCAAATATGGTTCTCACCGGACCAACCATTGGACCCATCAATGTTCAAGGAATTGGAGACTCTATTGCATCCTGAACTGGAATCCACCATTGATGAATTTGGAAGTAACCGTGATCACCGACTGATTTTCGATCTCGTCGATGAAGAGTTACTTGAGATGGGTGAAAAATCATCTGTATATTTCCCCAAGCACTTCTCTTTCAACACTAGCATTAGCTTGAAGCTCAAGAGAAACGATGTTGTTGAAGAAGTGTGGATCAAAGTTAGCAAAAACCTGGCTTCCCAACCAGAACATGACCGGTCATTGGATGCTATTGTTGCTAGAGTTTTGGACAGAAACGCCTGGATGAGCATTCAAGCCGAATCAGAAGTCGTGGCACTTGAGCTAGCAGATTTAATTTTTTATGAGCTTTTATAACTTCTTTGTTTTTATGAGGATAAACATATTTAATCGTTTAATATTTTTCAATTTATGAGTATAAAATAAACTACATTGGACATACATTATACTAAAATTTTGTACATTTAAATTTTTAAGCAACGTGCAATAAATTATGAGTTCTGAATAAATAAATAGATTTTAGATGTGAAAAGAAATTAAAACGAAACACCTATTTTGAGGATGGGCGCAGGGGATCGCTATCCGTGTTGGTAAAGGAAAATATGGAACGACAAGATATTCATGTCGAGAGACAAAGCAGAGCGCCTCATTTGCAGAATACGTAATATCTAAGCAGAGCTCTCTCGCTTTTGATGTACAATTTCAGTTGCTTTCTTTTCCCAGAAACCCTATATTTCAAGCTTTCCTCTTACTCACGGTGTAAGTACTTTTCGTCTTTTACAAGGCAATGCCATTTTTTTGTTGCTTTTCACTTCGAGGTTTATGTTTTTCATGTTTTGCTTTGACGAGATAGTGAATGAAGAAGAATATGATATTAAAAGATACAAAAATCATGTTTTAATGATTTCACTATTTGTATACGGCCTAGCTCTCTGTTGTCTACAGTCTACACCGTTTCCTTCCTTTTCTCTGTTTCTCGTAACCAAACAAGGGGAGTTTCTATTTTGTTTCTCTATTTGGTTTGTTCTTGTTTGATTCATATAACTCTTAACACTCAGAAGTCATCTGGGATTTACGTTTGTAGATGCTTACTATGTACTGTTTTGAAAATATTTTCATCTGTTGAGAAACTTTACAGACGTCTAAAAACGATTCGATTTAAAAACGAAGCAGCTTTTCACCTCCTTCCGTTGCCTAACTTCTTGAAATCCGTTAAGGTTTCCTATCATTAAACAAGCATTCTCTATTTCTACAGACTGTTTTTTGATTGCTAAGTATTTAGAGACAATATCGTGTCTAATATCTGCATGATTCAACTAGGTGTTGGCAAACTTAAAAGATGCCTATTTGTTATTTGTTGATGATCAGATGTCTAACCTTCAAAAGAAAGATGACGAGGTGTTTGTTTATCCATGGATGGGAATCATTGCCAATATACCAACGACAATACAAAATGGAAGGAAAGTGGGTGGAAGCGGAAGCAGGTTGCGTGAAGATTTGACAGAAAAGGCATTTAATCCATTGAGGGTTCATCCTCTTTGGAACATGTAGACACTCATTTTCACCCGAATTTGAGTTTTTTATTTTTATTTATTATAGGCATATATACGATAATATAGTATAATTTTTGAAAGTGTTTTTAAAAAATATAACATATAGTTTTCAAAAAACGGTTTCCGAAAATATATATATAATATAGTTTGTTTAAAACGTTTTTGAAAACTTATATACAATATATAAGTTTTAAAATATTTTGAAAATTATATAACATATATTTTTGAAATCATTTTGAAAATATAATGTATAGTTTAAAAAAAACATTTTTGAAAAATTTATATAATATATAGTTTTAAAAATATTTTGGAAAACTTATATAATATTTTTAAAATCATTTTTGAAAACTATATGGTATATAGTTTTGAAAACGTTTTTAAATATAATATATAGTTTAAAAAATATATTTTTTGAGATATATATATATTATAGTCTATATTATTATTATATATTATTATTATTTATTTTCTTTTCATTTTATTTTATTCATTTTATTTCATTTATTCTGTTTTGTGGTCCAGGTCCATGATGGGGTCTATGAGAAGTCCACTGTTCGAGTCCAATATGTTTGGGGCCTGAACCAGCCCAAACCCTACAAATTAGGGTTTACACATCCAAGCAACAGGCGCCGCATGGGGAGTTACCCAGTCAAAGAGGAGAACCGGCCGGCCGGGAAAACCGGGACTGCACCATCCCGGGATTCCCGACCATGTGAAGCAATGATAGGCCCGAAAGGTACGGGAACGACCCCGTCATCACCGAAAATATCCCGTAGAGGGCAGAACAGATAGCATCAGTGGTGGGGTATAAATACCCACCAAGCCACGGTACTCAGGGGGGGAACAGCCGAACAGTAAACCGACCATCACCAAGAGGACATCAACAGTACAGTAAACCAAGAGGAGGAAACACGGCCAACAGAAAATACCCACACAACAGAGAGTCATCGAGAACCAAGAACCACAATACACAACCCACGAACCAGATCATCATCAAGCCACTGTGAGTACACCCAGAACAGTCGAAACGACCGAGAACCAAGGACGGAGCAACACAATAAACCAACAGAACCAGATAGTCAATCAAGCAAACAACGAGCCAATACAACCGAAGCCCATAACCAGAAAACAGTAAACAAAACATCATACCCATCATCGAGAGATCAACATATAATCATCAAAATAAACCAAAATAAAACCAGAGCGAGAAAAAGAGAGATCATCACCGTGCGAAGCAACGGGAACGCCAAAAAGTCACCGGCGACGCGGGTTTTTTCCAAAAAGGTATTTCCTAGATCTACACGTCTAGGGACGTTTTTTGGCGAAACTAACTTGGTTTTCAGGTCAAGGGTGAGAGAGGGCGTCTTTTGGGTGCGTTTGGGTTAGTTCCGGCCACCGGCGCCGCCGTGCGCCGCCGTAGCTCCGCTTTGGCTCTCTTCCCCGATAAAGGGAAGTTGAGAGAGTCTGAACTCTCTCTCCCCTTTTCTTTTCTGGAAGCAAAGAAGAAATGAAGAGAATGCAAAGGAAAAAGCCTTTTTCGGGCTTAAATATTCGAACAGAAAACGGTGCCGTTTTGCTACCAAACGAAACGACGCCGTTTGGCCTCTATCACCCGTGTTTTCAAGAATTTGGGGGAAAACCGCACATTTGGTCCTTCATTCCCTGTAATGTTTTTGTTTAGTCACTGAATGAAGTTTTAATTTTCTATTTCAGGCGTGCATCTTTCAATAGTTATATTTCAGTCACTAGTGGTTTATTTTATCATAATTGCATATGTTTCATGTTGGTCATAATATTTTAAATTATTTCATTTTAGTCCTTGTTAACATTTTTATCCCGTTTTTTCATTTCATTTCATTTTATTTTATTTTTAATTTATTTCTTATCATTATTATTATTGATTTCCTTCTCTTTTTATTATGTTTATTATTATTATTATTATTATTATTATTACATATTGTTTTCATTTTTTTTTGAAATCTAACATTTGCTTCTTTTGTCACATTTTTATTCTAATATTTTTTTCCTTTGATTTGCTTATTAATTAATTATCATTATTTTTTTTTGATATTTCTTTTTTGAATATTTTTAGTAATAACATCAATCAATCAAAGGTAAGTAATTTGAATCGAATATTTTAAATCTTAATTTAAATTTCAATTTTCGTAATTAAAGACAACCGGTGAATTAATTGGTACCGAAAGGGCGGTTCAAGGGTGCTAATCCTTCCTTGACCGTAACCGACTCCCGAACTCGATACGTTTCTGGTACAACGCAGATCAGGTAAGGTGGTGTCCGACCCACCTAAATTAGTTTTAAAGTGGTCGGTGGCGACTCCAATTCGTTTAATCCAAGTCGAAGCCAATTCTGGGGCCCAACCGAAAGACGGTCGCGACAGCTTGGCGACTCCGCTGGGGACAGGTAAGTGAGTCAGGCCGAAATTAATTTTCGGTTGTCTTTTTATGCGAAAATGGTAAATTTTAATTTTAATTTATTTATTCGATTCCAATTATTTATCTTTGATTATTTTTCAAATAAATAGTTGTACTGACGTTTTTTAATGATTTCAGATTTTTTCAAAATTGTCATCTCAGGCTCTATACCCGAGCTCCGAACCCTTTTAAGTGGGGGTGAAAGCGACGCATTCGTGTGAATTTATTCACCGCATATGCCTAGCAAGTAGCCTTCGGGATTCATATACCTTATGTCTTCGTGTGAATTTATTCACCGTGCGGGCATAAGGGAATGTGTCCCCTCGAGTTTAACTTAGTCCACACAAGCCCGTGATGGGTTTAGGACTAAGGGTCTGGTAAGCCCAAGGGGGCACCGGCAAGGAGAACTCGAGTACCGTTTTTTAGAACCTAAACCGGGAGAATACAAGGAATTAGAGCTCACCCCAAAGCTTCATTTCAAACCCTAGGTTGCTTTGTTTCCTGCTTTACTTTATGTTTAAAGCATGCGAATTAGACAAATATGCGGTTATGATTTGTTTGAAATTAGCATGCGGGATAGAGATCATGTCCGGGTAGGAATAATAAGCATGTGGGGTAGATATCATGTGGGGTAAGACTTTTCATTTTTATCATTTTTTTATCATCATTATCTCACTAACTTTTTTTTTCTCCTTTCATTTTTTTGGCATTTTTTTTATCATTCGCATCATTAAAACGAGGTGTTGATCCACCAAAAATGTGTTTGTTAAATGTAAATAATCTGCATTAATGGACAAAGGGGTTATAATACAAAGAGATAAAAAGCTCAGAAGTCCAACCGGTATCAAAGAATACTTAGAGGCAAAGGTTTCAGGGGCAAGACGAGGAAATAGTTACTGACCCGGAGAGTCCTTTCGAAAATTACGAGAACAAGATGGTGAAACCCTAGCTAAGCTGGAGACCATTATTGATGAATTCCAAAAATAAGTCGACAAACTTCGGATGGAGGGCTCCAATGGCACTTTCGTTTGGAACGAGCTCGGCATAGAGTGAAGGCCGGAGATGCAGTCATTCGAGACATTTTTTGGGGCAAGCAACTATCACCCGCACAAGTTTAGCCAAAGGAGTCGGAATGGTTCGACAGGATATTCAACCGGTGAAAAAGCAGAAGACGAATCAACTTTCGAGAGACTGTGCGGGATCTATACCATCAAAAAGTTTTTTGTCTCTTCAGACGTAACATTTTTGTCCCCAGTAAGGATTATTCAGAATAATAGGCACATTTTTCGGATCAATGCCTCGGACATTTCATGCATCATGCATTTAAACATTTTGCATTTGTTCATTTCTTTACATTCACATTAATTATCTT